GGATGGATGGATGGATGGACAGATGGAGGGATGTAGGGAAGAACGGACGGATGTACTGATGGATGGATGAATGGACGGACAGATGGACGGATGGACTGATGGATGGATGGACAGATGAAAGGATGGAAGGAGGGACGGATGGATGGATGGACGGATGGGGGGACGGACGGATGGAGGGAAAGACGGATGGATGGATGAACGGAGGGATGGATGGACGGACGGACGGACAGATGGAGGGACAGACAGATGGATGGATGAACAGAGGGATGGATGGATGAATGAACGGACAGATGGAGGGACAGATGGATGGACGAATGGATGGACAGACGGATACCATGTGTACTGCACCATGTGTACTGTCCTCACTGTAAAGACGCCCCCCCCCCCCGCGCAGCGACACTGACCTGTGCCCTGTCTTCTTCTGGTCCACAGCCAGGGGGCAGCTGGGTGACGGCGCCCACCTGGAGCTGTTGGTGGTGGTGGGTCCTGACGTGCAACAGCTCCACCGTCAGGACACGGAGAGATACGTCCTCACCAACCTCAACATCGTAAATCTGAGACGTCCCATAATAATAACCCTGTTCTGAACTGTTGGATTTAATGCTGTGTTGACATGTAGTTTCTAATGAGTAGTTGACTGCCCCTAGAGGACAGTGGCGGGACTGCACGCGATGCGTTTTTTTTTTGTGTTTCAAATTAAACCCCGATCATTCATTATCCAACGAGGTCGGAAAAAAAAGGTGCTGCTGTGATAATAAACCAGTTCCAGTTCCGTCAGTGCCTTCACCTTTGACCTTTGACCTCCCGTCCAGGCCTCGGAGCTGCTGAGGGACGTGACCCTGGGGGCCGACATGAGGGTCCACCTGGTCCGACTGATCGTGCTGTCGGAGGCGGAGGTGGGTTTCTGACGGACGGACGGCGCCGCCGCTGCTGGTTGTTGACCTTTGACCTTTGACCCCATTTTTTGTCTTCACAGCCCGAGATCCAGCTGTCTCCGAACATCAGCTCGTCCCTGCGGAGCGTGTGCGACTGGGGCCGGAGGATCAACCCCCCCGACGACACCGACCCGCTGCACGCCGACCTGCTGTTGTACATCACCAGGCACGTGGGGACCAATAGGGGGGGCGGGGTCCCAGAAGTGTCTCAGCGGTTGTCGTCCTCTCTCTCTCTCTCTCTCTCCGCTCTAGATACGACCTGGTGTTGCATGATGGGAACAAGCAGGTGAGGGGCGTGACCCGGCTGGGCGGGGCCTGCTCGGGCGAGTGGAGCTGCGTGATCACGGAGGACACGGGCTTCGACCTGGGCGTCACCATCGCGCACGAGATCGGACACAGGTGACGGCGGTTGGACGGGGGGGGGGCGGGGACGTCAAAGCGGGGGGGGCCGGGGGGTGGGGGGGTGTGCG